CCTAGTTCGTGCCCCGTGTAGCCGCGCTGCACGGGGTTCGAACCAGCGGGGTTTTAAAAATGGCGGCGCCCGGCTTATGCAAATGAAGCCCGGGAAATTCAAATCCCGGGCTTCATTTGCAAGTGCGGTATGCCTACATTGCCCTCCTAGTTCGAACTACGAGGGTAGTGTAGACATACCCTAAGGAAGCTGGGTTCTGCCGGAGAGAACGTGGGAGAGCGAGTGCGCTCGCCCATGGGTGTGAGATGCAGCACAGTTGTAGCAACCAGTTTGGCTTTGTGCTGCAGCTGGCCCAATTAATTGTGTGTTTTGAAGGGAGTAGCTTCCTGCCCCGATCACTGGTCATTTCCCTCTATGGTCAGTGGCCTAGGCGCTGCAATGAGTTGTGTGTGACACCCCCCCCACGGCCAGCCACAGCAAGAGTGAGACAGAGATACGGGCTTGCTAGCGGGCACAAGGTTCCATAACTTCAGAAAAACCCAGGTGGTCTCCTGCCACCAAAGTAACCTCTGTCACAGGGGATGGAAGTTAGCAACATGACAGTGTCACTAAAAGCTGTGTAGTGTACACATACCCTAAGGCCAGGTCTACACTAAAGGAGAAGGTTGAGACAAGATATGCAAATTCAGCTACATTAATTACATAGCTGGAGTTGACATACCTTGTTTTGAGTTTCCCTGCCATCCCCACAGTGGGAGGCCAATAGGAGCAAACGCTTTCATCGGCTTACCTTACTCCTCACAGGAGCAGGAGAGCCCGCCACTGATGGGGGCGCCCTCTGAGTTCGATTTAGCAAGTCTTAACTAGACCCACTAAATCAATCTCTGGAAGATCGATCATGGTAGCATCAATCTTCCCTGGAGTGTAAAAGCGATCTAAGTCTCTTAGCATTCAGGCTGCATCTGTTAACAGCTTCTAAGGTAGCTTCCTGTTCTTCAAGTTTGGCAAATTGCTCTTGGTTTTGCTGTCTCACCAGCTCAGGTGTCTCCACTTTCTATGTAGCTGGGCTAGTGTGAAAACCCTTGAGTTCTAGCTGCTGTGAAAGGTTTTTATCTGTTAATCCGATAACCTGCCTGTCTATTTTCCATTCCCCCAAATCAGTTTTCATGCAAAGCTCTTACAAAACATTCTACATTTTCCTCTGGCTCTTGAATGCTCTGGTAAAAACATGCTCTTTAATAAACCACATTTCTCTGAGGTATACAGTGTACATCAAACATAAGCAGAACCCATTCATAGTAATCTTTGTGACTGTCTATAGTGAAGTGAAAATATTAAATCTATGCTCTGGCTGCTTCCCCATAGCACAAATTAAAGAAGATATATGTATATCTCTAGCTTTGTGGAAGTTGATAGCAATGCAAAATCTTGCAAAACATTCTTTCATCTGTCCATTCTGAAGGTTTGTCAAAGCAGAAGTTCCCTGGGGAATTGAAAAGTGGCGTGTTGATGAGGTCCTGCGACCGTTCTTGCTTTGTTTGTTGTGTTTGCAGTTGTACCTGTTTTCTGTCTGTTTTCTGTTCTTAGTTTATTTCTGACACCATGTCATTCTCTTGTACCAGATATGGACTGATTACAGAGCTTGCTTATACAAACCAGATCTGTTCATCTTATGATCCTTTCATGCCCCGTTGGGTAAAGCTAAGGTTAGCTTAAATGAGGTATTTTTTACACACACACACACACACACACACACACACACTGGAAGAACAGTATCATACCATTTAATTTACAGAATAGTGTGGCAAGCCCAGTATAGTAAATAAATGCCCAGGAAGCCAATTGACAGCAAACAGCAAAAGGAGCGTTTCTCCAGATGTCTGCTTAGGAGATTGGGTACAATTAGGAAATGGAGGTTCTGGTGCTTTTCCCATCTCCAGTGTTTGTACTTTGTTGTTTTCCAGCTGGGTTGGCTATGAGCAGCCAAACAGCAAAGGCGAGCAATTTGTGTTTGAAAAGGGCGAGTATCCGCGCTGGGATTCCTGGACCAACAGCCGGAGGAGTGACACTATCAGTTCCCTGAGACCCATCAAAGTGGTGAGAGTGCTTGTGTCAGACACTGATCATTATAATCTGGTCAGGCTTAGTCAGAAGCCTCTCCCAGGCCCCTCTCAGACTAAGAGGTGAAGCCAAAGTTCTGTAGAAAACCAGCTGTTCACTGTTCATTATAATCTGGTCAGGCTTTGGCAGAAGCCTCTCTTGGGCCCCTCTCAGATGAAGAGATGGAGCCAAAATCCTGTAGAAAACCAGCTGTTCTGACGTTTCAAACAGGCGAGTCACTAGGTCCTCAGATGCCTGCAGCTCCTGCAGCCTCTGTATTTGTGGCTATACCTGAAACCTCCCCAAATTCTCACTGACGTGGTGCCTGACTCAGAAGGATTCCTCTCATACACCAAAGCCTAGTGGGGCCCAAGTTAGTAGATTTTGTGCCAGATGCCCTAGAGGGAGGGAACAGAACAGGGAATCCTTACGTGATCCCTCCCATTATCTATTTCTAGACAAATGGGGGCTAGGGACACCATTCCTGCCCATGCTGGCTAACAGCCATTGATGAACCTAACCTCCATGAATCTCCAGAGGTTTCATGGTGAATGGCTCAGGATGATCCCTGGGCATGTCTGCTCACAGCCGGCATTCCATCTCCTGTGACGAGCCTGGCCTGGGCCCGCTCTCTGGGCACTCAAGTTTTGCTTGGCGGCTAGAGCCATCTTTGCCGATCTCCTCATAATTTCCCTGGAAGCTGCCTGGCCCCACTGCTGACACTGACCCAGCATCTCTCCTCCCCTTCAGGACAGTCAGGAACACAAGATCGTGCTCTATGAAAACCCCAGCTTCACCGGCAAGAAGATTGAGATCATAGATGACGACGTGCCCAGCTTCCATGCCCATGGCTACCAGGAGAAAGTGTCGTCGGTGCGGGTGCAAAGCGGCACGTAAGTCCCTAGGGCGGCAGGTCCCCTCGACCCTGTTAGGAGGTGGGCACGGGAGTCTCCCTTCCCTACATTTGGAATCGAGGAACGGAGGGGACAAAAGCACTGTTTGCCTCCAATTCTGTCTCCAGTTTAAGGCCTCGCCATGACAACAGCCTGACTCAGGTGGTTAGATGTCAGACACAACTGCAGCCAGCAGCTCTGCTGCACTGTCCTTTGCTCTGGGCCTGGGGCTGAGCAGGAGGACGCAGGTTGCAAGATGGGGCTGGAGAATGAACAGTCTTTTGCGGGGCTGCACGGAGCCTTCTGAGGCCAGGGAGGTGTGTGAGGTGCTCCAGACTCAAGTGCCCTGGGCAAAACAAGGCGGGGGGGATGCTACCGAGCTGGGTCAGCCCCAAGGAAGGAATTCCCTTCACTCGGAGGCTTTGTGTAGAACTTTAATGCCTCTAAGCGAGCAGCAGTGCTAGTGAGGCCTGTGGGGGCACAGCTCCTTACCCTAGCCAAGCCAGGGATGGAGTTTGATTACAGAGCAGTGCGGGGCTGCCTGTGTGGGAGGATACACTGGGGACTCTCCCCGATGCCTGGGTTCTCCTGGTCTCTGACTCAGCCATGCTTTCCCTTTGTAGCTGGGTCGGATACCAGTACCCTGGCTACAGAGGCTACCAGTACCTGTTTGAAAAGGGGGACTATAAGGACAGCTCAGAGTTTGGTGCCCAGCACCCCCAGATTCAATCCGTCCGGCGCATCCGGGACATGCAGTGGCATCAGCGAGGGGCCTTTCACCCCACCAACTGAGGCCTCTCCCCTCTCCTGAGTGCCCGGAGGAGGAAGGAAACCAGAACGAGCTTGTATGTGACCTGCTGCTGTTTCCCAAAGGCCTTGCTCTGCCGCCGGCCACCGAGTGACTACGGCTGCTCTGCTGTGGAAGCAGCTGAATAAAGCTTTGAGTTTCAAACGGGC